ACAAGCATCTGAACACTATAGAATCACATACACTGATATATAAAGAGTATCTGAGGTGGAAAAGAGAAGTGGCAGTGAAAGTATTATTGGACACAGATGCTTCAACAAAGTATATCAGTGATTATATACTAACAAGATTGTCTGATGTACAATGAGTGAAGGAATCTAAATGAGTAAAGCTTTTAAACAATCAATACCTTATCTCATCCACAAGGGTAAAGATGCTCTTGCATTTTGAGAGATGATCTTGCTGCATCTGAGTGTGCATGCTTTCAGATGTAGAATACAATCTGATTTTGAAGCTTGATTGGTTTCAGAAGTATGATCTCAGAATTCATTGGTATATATATTATATACAGTTGACAGATTGTAAGAATCAAGTTTATATGATACTACTTATAAATATGAGATGCAGATTCCATGCATCAGAGACAGAAGATTTGAACCTCATCATTCAATATCAAGCAAAGCAAGCACTGTATAAACCTTCAACTCAGAGCATTCTATACATCATAAAAGAATCTAAGACAGAGGAATTGCTGTCTGTGAAAGACTCTAAAAATGAAAAGTATATGAAGACACTGCTTGAAAAGTATAAGAAGGTCTTCTGAATGAACCTCTCATCTTCTCTGCCACTCAAAAGAGAATTCATTCATAAGATTGATACAGAGGATGTGAAACCAATAAATTGCAACATATACTCTCTATTGCAAACACATCTCAAGAAACTACAGCAGCAGATAGAAGAATTGTTGAAGAGAGGTCTCATACAATCATCCTCTAGTGCATGGGGCTTTTCAGTCCTATTCACTAAGAAATCAAATGAAGAATAGTGTATATGCATTGACTATTGAATGCTCAATAAACTCACTGTAAAGAATGAATATCTACTGCTATAAATTCAGCAACAACTAGATACAGTAGAGAATGCCTGATATCTGATGAAGATTGACTTGCTCACAGAATATTGACAGATTTGCATAGATAAACTGTCAGTGCTCAAAACAGTGTTTAATACTCAATGAAGGAAATTTGAATTTCTTGCAATGTCAATGAGGCTTACAAATGCCCCTGCAATCTTTCAAATGATAATAAATACAATTCTCACTAAGCAGAACAGCCAATTGTGTCTCATATATCTTGATGATATTTTAATCTTCTCAAACTTGTATGAAGAGCATCTACAATATATAGATCAGATGCTCACAACTCTGGCAGAGCATAAGCTCTACACTAAATCATCAAAATACATGTTTGATACAAAGAAGTTGAAGTTCATAGAACATCTTATGAAAGAGGGTTGTATACACTCAATTTCTGAAAAAATAGAGGTTATCACAAAATGGCTGAGGTCTAGAAATATACACCACATACACCAATTTCTGGGACTGGCATTATACTATAGAAGATTTATGAAGAACTTCACACAAATCACAGCTCTGCTGTCAGATCTTCTTAAGAAGACAGACACTGAGCTGCACAAGAAGAAATTTTATTTGATCATCTGAAACATCTTCTACAAAGAGGCCTTTCTGAAATTAAGAGAGTATATGACAACATCTTCAGTGCTTGTTCAACTGAATTGTATGAAATCCTTCACAATCAAAACAGATGCATCAGAATGAGCCATTGAGTACTTTCTCTTACAAGTGAAGAAGGATGACAAATTACACTCAGTAGCATACAATGACTGAAAGCTATCAGACACAGAGCTTAACTATTCTGTGCATGAGAAGGAGCTTCTAGTGATCAAGCACACACTAGGTCTATAAGATTGATATATCAACAATGAGCATATGACAACAGTGATCACTGATCATGAAAGTCTTATTTATTTGCAAATGACAATCAAACCCTCTAAGTGACTGGCATGATGAATATCAGAGTTCCAGATGTATAATCTTCAAATCAAATACTGAAAAGAGTTGAATGCTATTGTATCAGATGCTATAAGTTGTAGATCTGACTTCATAAAAGAAGGCTCAGCAAATGTGATGCAGAGAGAGCTTATGCTGATGACACTGAGGGATTGTGACAAGGCAGAGTGATTGGAAGCTATAATCATCTGCTTGAGAGATGGAAGTGTATCAGATGATAAATGTCTAGCAAAGGTGGTAGAAGAAATACTTCTGAAATTCAAACTTGCAAAGTTGAAGAAAGATGTTGTGCTCTACTGCAATCTTGATTATGCTGAGACACTGTATCTTGAGTCTCAGTTTTGATGAGATCTGATGAGTTGTATACACAAGAAGTTCAGCCACTTAGAGAGTTCAGAACTCTTAGATGTTCTGAAAGATTGAGCATACTGATCAAATATGAAGGAAGATATTCAGACATACACATGAGAATGTCTGAACTGTCAAGTCTCTAAGGGCACAAAACAAGAGTTGGAGTGTGAAAGAGCACAACATCAGATAGAAAGTACAATTAAGCCATTTGAACATTGAGGGATAGATTTTATAGAAGTATTACCATGAATGTCAAATGGGAACTGCTGGATAATAACAGCAGTTGATTACATCACAGAGTGGTCAATCACACAAGTGGTGCCAGAAGTGACAGAGGAAATCATTGCTAAGTTTCTACATGATGATATCTATATTAGCTATAGTATGCCCCATGAGATATTGACAGATAATGAGGCAAATCTCATGGAAGAAGCTGTGAGGCACTTCATCAAACAGTTGCAGACAAAGCATCACATGACAACACTCTATCACCCTCATACAAATGGAAAAGTTGAATGCTTGAATGGAATACTAGGCAGCATGCTGACAAAATATCTAGTGGGGAAGTCTACAAGATTATGAGATGAATATCTTGGACAAGTATTATTTGCAATATAAGTTTATCAGTATACAGTCTCAAAGTGTTTGCTGTTCTATCTGCTCTATAGAGTACATCTGTGTATCTCAGAGAATACACAGAAGTAGATAGAGAAGAAGGTAGCAGTTGCAGACATGGAAGCAAGAGTGAGAGAAGTTAGTCATATTCAAGCAAAAGCAAATGAATTACTGCTCAACTGTGCTATACAATCAAAAAGAATACAAGACTCACTAGTAAAAGAAATGAGCCTCACAGTGAGCACTTGAGTTCTTGTATGCAATGAGAGATCTGAGAAGTTTCAATTAAGATGGTTTGAGCTGTACAAAATCCTCAAATCACACCCTCTTGAAACATACACTTTGGAGGAATCAGAGGGGTGGATTCTACACAATCTCATCAATGACTCTCATCTTATAGAGGCAAAAGTAAAAGATTCAAATGAGCTGTGATCATCTGCAGCACTATCATCAGCATTGAAGAAAAGAGAATTTACAATAGAAAAGCTCTGAGAAGTTAGAGAAATCATCAACACTTATAAATTGAATGATATCACTTACTCAGACCTCTTCACAATAATCAAAAAGAAATGAGAGGAAATGAAAAAAGTGAGCATACAGCATGTGCTGATAAGTGATAAGACTGTTGCTGGCTGTACAATATTGCAATATAGACAGTGGATGCAATGTGGTTGAGGGCAAGCTCAAGGCAGCTGATCAACATGTGGGTCAGATTGCAAGAACAAAAGAGATTCAGATAGGGATTTGACTGTCTATACTAGCTTGAGCACAGAGATCTCAGAGAATGAACTGTCAGAAATGTCAGCAGACACACTGAATCAAGCCATTGCAGCATCTGAAGACACTCAGAGATCAGATAAGATTAGTTTCAATGAACTATTCACTGTAGTTATCTGAGCTTGTGAAGAGAGACAGTATAATATATGGAGACAGAACACTCTCATTGAAAGATATGAGATCTGCTGCATCTGGTTATCAAAGTGTAGAACTGATAAAAGGTCATGTGAGATTGATATCAGATAAGAAGAAAAGAAAGGGAAAAAGAAAGTCAGAAAAAAGATCTATTCACACACAGCTCTAGTGACTACTGCAAGAGCTTCACTCAATTTCTAAAAATACATAGATATCACAAGAACAAAGAAAAGAAAAAGGTGCACATCAACAAAACACCCCAGCTCAACACCCTCAGAAACAATTCATATACAATAAAAATTAAAACTCAGCCTGTGTCAAGGACTTCAAGATCTCAAGGCAAGTATGTAGAAGTGCAGAGCACACCTCCACCTCACAAAGAGCCTGACATACTGATTTGATATCCCCAATGAGAAGATTCATAGAAAGCTCAATAAAACAATAGAAATATATACATGGAGAAAAATCAATCAGAGTAGAAGAGGGTAAGATGAGAGCAGATAAAACAGTGGAGCAGACATCTGAATCTCTACAAAAATAAATGACAGATGCTTGCTCAACAGAAAGCAGAGAAAGAGATGAAAGAATGGGAGTGAAAGCAGAAGCAGAGAAGAATGAATAAGTCACAAAAGAATTGAAGATGAGAGCAGCAATAGGCATACACAGAGTGGTATTCAAAGCAACTATAAAGTATTAGCAGCCATCATAACACAAAGAAAAGAGTATACACTTACTGAAAGAACAGAAACTTCTCTTGAAGCTTCATAAACAATTACAATAGAGGCAGAGACAGTCAACAGAATGATCATGTATAGAAGACAGAATACAAAATTGGAATGAGTCTTTGCCACACACACAACCCACATAAGAAACAGGCATATACTCACTCTGAGTATAAAAAAGTGCTACATCACCATTCAAACTACTCTGCACATATATATTCTTTCTATAAATGATCAGTTTGAAAGTTATATATCAATACAAAGAACAATAGCATTCATCTGATAAGCTGAAAGTACACAAAGACAAGAGAGTGATGCAAAAACTAGTATGAGTGAATATAATGCAGAGATCTTTATCTGTTATAATCTCAATGATATGGAGACTCTGAACAATTTCATCTATAACAAGTCAAAATAAAATTCATAAACAAAGAGAAGAGTATTGCATACACTCAGCACAATCTGTTCAAATGACAGTGTTTTCTCTGAAATGTATAAGATTGCTAAACATTTTATACTTACTTCAAGCAAGAGATGTGACTGATGAATAGCTAGTGAAATGAATCATATCATACAAAACTTGTGTATGAAAATGCATTTTTTTGAAAGCAGTGGGTGCAGAAGAGAGGTATGAGGGATAAAGAAGAGAGCCACTGAAGATACACAATGCCTCTAAGAGGGTGGATGAAAGTGAGGAATCAGTATGAGAGAAGAGAGGGGGATTGATATGGACAGGAGAGGTAGAATTGAGAGCAGCAGAAGAAGCACAGACAGTGGAAGAGGCAGAGACAGCAGAGAAGGCAGAGACAGCAGAGGAGATAGAAACACAAACAGAGACAGAGAGAGCAGCAATAGAAGATAACATGGAGGCATCCACCATCACATCATCATCATAAGCATCACCATCACTGCTCACATCCACACCAGCAACCTTGCCAACTGCTTCACCTATGTTTTCATCATTAGTCAAGACATTCATGTTATTATCATCATGTCTGACCCTCACAACAGTGTCAGACATGACCTTCTCAACAGAAGCAAGATTATGCAAGAGAGGGTCATTGAAAGAGAAGCTTGAACAATCACAAATCAGATGTGCACTCTGACAATAAGAAGTAGAAGCTAGCAACAATTAGCAATGATTAGCAACTGTGAAAGCCATCAATTCACAGTCAAATTAGCTTTTGACAAGATTTGATTGATGAGAACTTATCAGTAGATCAGCTGATGTGACTAGAACAGTGTGAACCATGATGATCAGATGTTATATTATAGAACAGAGAGGGCTAGACATTTGATAGAATAAGATAGATATATAGAACAATTGAAAACAAGGCAGAGAAGGTCAAACAAACAGATGTGAGCAAACAAATAGAATGGGATAGTTGCAAACATAGTGTGGTTAGTGATGAGATGATGTTGTTGTGATAGAAATTCTTGTGCATATGAAGTGAGGGTGTCTTACCATTTTGGGTTAGACAACACATGATTACAATAAGAGCTTGATGAATGTGTGCTACAAATGCTTCAGAAATAGTGCACTGCAAAGATGGATGTGGACAGCAGAACATCATCACAAGGATATAGACAGATTTGATAGAGGAGGATGTAGTAATTTCAGCTTATTATTCTTCCATGGTGTATGCCACCCTCTATTATCAAGGATGGTGTACACTACCACACTAGTTATTTCATATAAGAGAAGCTGCAAAGCTTAGAAGCTTTGAGAAGCTCAAGCAACCTTTGAACCACATATAGAGTATATCTCTGTCTTATAAAGAGTCTGATATATTGATTCAATATCTTCAATGAAAAAATTCACAGAAAGCTCAATAAAACAATGAAAATATATACATAGAGAAAAATTAATCAGAGTGAAAAAAAATAAAACAGAAATGAGTAAAGCAGTGAAGTGAATATCTGAATCTCTATAAGAATAAATAACAGATATTTATCTAATAGAAAGTGAAGAAAGAGAAGAAAGAGTGAGAGTAGAAATGAAAGTGAAAAAAAATGAATAAATTATAAGAAAATCAGAGATAGAAGCAATAATAGATATACACAGAATGATATCTGAAATAACTATAAAGTATTAACAGTCATTATAATATAAAGAAAAGAGTGTATACTTACTGAAAGAATAGAAACTCTTTTTGAAGCTTTATAAATAATTGTAACAGAAACAGAGACAGTCAACAGAACAGTTATATACAGAAGACAGAATATAAAATTGAAATAAGTCTTTATCACACATACAACTCACACAAGAAATAGATATATACTCATCTTAAGTATAAAAAAGTACTATATTATCATTTAAACTACTCTGTATATATATATTCTTTCTATAAATAATTAGTTCAGAAGTTATATATCAATATAAAGAATAATAATATTTATCTGATAAGTTGAAAGCATATAAAAATAAGAGAGCAATATAAAAACTGATATGAGTGAATATAATATAGAAATTTTCATCTATTATAATTTTAACAATACAGAGATTCTGAACAATTTCATCTACAATAAGTTAAAATAAAATTTATAAATAAAGAAGAGAATATTGTATATATTTGATACAATCTGTTTAAATAACAGTGTTTTCTCTGAAATATATAAAATTGCTAAATATTTCATACTTACTTCAAGCAAGAAATACAACTGATGAATAGCTAGTGAAATGAATTATATTATATAAAACTTATATATAAAAATATATTTTTTTGAAAGCAGTGAGTGTAGAAGAAGAGTGTAAGAGATAAAGAGAAAAACTGCTGAAGATATACAATATCTTTAAGAAAGTAGATGAAAGCAAAAAATCAGTATAAAAGAAGAGAGAGAAATTGATATAAGCAGAAGAGATAGAATTGAAGACAGTAGAGAAAGTATAAACAGTGAAAAAGACAGAGACAGTAGAGAAGATAAAAACAGCAGAGAAGATAAAGATATAAACAGAGACAGAGAGAGCAGCAACAGAAGATAATATAAGAGTATTTATCATTATATTATTATTATAAGCACTGTTATTATTGCTTATATCTGCATCAGCAATCTCATCAACTGCTTCACTCATATTTTTATTATTAATCAAAATGTCTATATTATTATTATTATATTCAATCTCTATAATATTATCAGATGTGATCTTCTCAACAGAAGTAAGATTATATAAGAGAGAGTCATTGAAAGAAAAATTTGAACAATTGTGAGTCAGATATATACTCTGATAATAAGAAATAGAAGCTAGCAATGATTAGCAATTACAAAAGTCATTGATTTGCAGTCAAATTAGCTTTTGATAAGATTTAATTGATAAGAACTTATCAGTAGATTGATTGATATAACTAGAATGATATGAACTATAATAATTAGATATTATATTATAGAACAGAGAGAACTAGATGATTTGATAGAATAGAATAGATATATAGAACAATCAAAAATAAGACAGAGAAGATTGAATAAAGAAATGTGAGTAAATAAATAGAATAGAATAGTTGTGAATATAATATGATTAGTAATGAGATAGCATTGTTGTGATAGAAATTCTTGTATATATAAAGTAAGAGTGTTTTACTATTTTGAGTTAGACAATGCATGATCACAACAAGAGCTTGATAAACACACACTATAAATATTTCAGAGATAACATATTACAAAGATGAGTGTGAATGACAGAACATTGTCATAAGAGTGTAGATGAATTTAATAGAGGAGAATATAGTAATTTCAGCTTATTATTCTTCTGAAGTATACACCACTCTCTATTATCAAGAATAGTGTACACTATTGCACTAGTTATTTTGTATAAGAAGAGCTGCAAAGCTTAGAAGCTTTGAGAAGCTCAAGCAACTTTTGAATTACAATAATACTGTCTCATTACTAATCATACCACATTTACAACTATCTCATTCTATTCATTCACTCACATCTCTTTATTTAATCTTCTCTGTCTTGTTTTTGATTATTCTATACATCTATTCTATTCTATCAAATTATCTAGCCTTCTCTGTTCTACAATATAGCATCTGATTATTGCAGTTTATATTATTCTAATTGTATCAGCTGATTTATTGATAAATTCTCATCAATCAAATCTTATTAAAAGCTAATTTGACTGCAAATCAATAACTTTTGTAATTGCTAATTATTGCTAACTTCTACTTCTCATTGTCAGAATATATATCTGATTTATAATTATCTAAACTTCTCTTCTGATAGTCTCTTTTTATATAATCTCACTTCTGTTGAGAAGATTGCATCTAACAATGTTATGAGAATTAAATGTGATGATAATAATATAAATATCTTGATTAATAATGAAAATATAAGTGAAGCAGTTGATGAGATTGCTGATATAAATGTGAGCAGTGATAATAATGCTTATAATAATAATATAATGACAGATGCTCTTATATTATCTTCTATTACTGTTCTTTCTACTCTCATTTATATCTCTATTTTCTCTGCTATCTTTGTTTTCTCTGCTGTCTCTGTCTCTTCTACTATCTGTACTTTCTCTACTGCTCTCAATTCTATCTCTTCTGTTTATATCAATTCTCTTTTCTTTTTTCACACTGATTTCTTGCTTTTACTTATTCTTTTAGAGATGTTGTATATCTTCAGCAGTTTCTCTTTTTATCTCTCATATTCTTCTTCTATACTCACTGCTTTCAAAAAAACATATTTTTATATATAAATTTTGTACAATATAATCTGTTTTACTAGCTATTTATTGATTGCATCTTTTACTTAAAGCAAGTACAAAATATTTAGCAATTTTATATATTTCAGAGAAAATACTGTTGTTTAAACAGATTGTATCAAGTATATACAATACTTCTCTTTTCATTTATAAATTTTATTTTGACTTGTTGTAGATGAAATTATTCAGAGTCTCTGTATTATTAAAATTATAGCAGATGAAGATCTCTGTATTATATTTATTCATATCAGTTTTTGTATTACTCTCTTATTTTCATATATTTTCAGCTTATCAGATAAATATTATTATTCTTTATATTGATATATAACTTCTGAACTGATTATTTATAGAAAGAATATATATATACAGAGTAGTTTGAATGATGATATAGCATTTTTTTATATTTGAAATGAGTATATATCTGTTTTTTATATAAATTGTGCATGCAGCAAAGATTTATTTCAATTTTATATTCTATTTTCTATATATAATTATTTCATTGATTATCTCTGTCTCTGTTGTAATTGTTTGTGAAGCTTCAAGAGAAGTTTCTATTCTTTCAGTAAATATATATTTTTTTCTTTACATTATAATAACTGCTAATACTTTATAGTTATTTTAGATATTATTTTATATATATCTATTACTGCTTCTGTCTTCAATTCTCTTACAATTTATTCATTTTTCTTCACTCTCACTTCTATTTTTATTCTTTCTTCTTTTTCTTCACTTTCTATTAGATAAATATTCATCATTTATTTTTATAGAGGCTCAGATATCTGCTTCATCACTTTATCTATTTTCATTTCACTCTCTTTTATTCTGATTGATTTTTCTCTGTATATGTATTTTCATTGTTTTATTGAGCTTTCTATAAATTTCTTTATTGAAGATATTAAATCAGTATATCAGACTTTTTGTAAGATGAAGATATACTCTGTACTTCTATACATTCACTTTGAAATCTTGAAATTTTTGATACAGATCAAGTTTTAATTTTTATTATATATAAATTATTTCTGAAAATATTGAGCTTGAGTATTTTATTGATGTATATCTTTTTCTTTTTCTTTATTTTATAATATTCTTATATTTTTAGAAATTGAGTGAAGCTTTTATAATGATTACTAGAGCTGTGTGTAAATAGATTTTTTTTCTGATTTCTTTTTTCTCTTTTTCTTCTTTTTATCTGATATTAATTTTATATGATTTTTTACTGATTCTATACTTTGATAATTAGATGCAGCAGATTTTATATCTTTTAATAAAAGTATTCTATTTCTGTGCATTATACTGTCTTTCTTTGCAAGCTCAGA